AGTTTTGGAGGGGACCATCTGTATTCTGTTGTGGTGGCATGGAATGGAATCATGTCCAACAGTAAGTGCTCAAGATAGTTTGGAACAGTTTTGCTATGCCTTTGCACTCTAGCCACCGAAACTTCTTCCCTTTATCATCCCTTTACAGGGAGCCCTTTCATGAGAAACTGCTGAGAGGGATGTAGTCGTAACACTCTCTATCTCGAGTAGAGTAACAGAAGTGGTTCCTTAGCAGTATCAGAGACAGAGATGCTGTTTCCAATGCTTCCTGAGCCCTAATGGTTTTTGTTTGGTTGGGTTTTTTGGGACGTATCTTCTATTATAGGCTCAAGCACTCTGAAAATTCAGAATAGTGGCCTTGGCCTCAATAATTGCATTACAAATCTAAGGGAGGATTACCCTCTTGTTTCTATGTATTCCATAAAGACTGCTCACAGAAAATACCTTCTTTTCTGTGTTGGAGAGGATCATTACCTGTATTTGATTTTTCTTTTGCATCCTTGGTCTTTAGCAAATGCCTTGCTGTGGTGGCAACTCACTTGAGAAAGCAGTGCATTCTTTTTTTCTCATTCCATGGCAACTGACTACTGAAAGCACAGATGTTCATAGAGGCTTAAATTGCCTTAGAGAAGAGTATGTTCCATACCTTGGTTTAGACTTAGCAAACAATATGATAAACATCCAACTTCACTTAAACTCATTATGTTCATCAGAGCAAGGATGACAAAGGTCTATTTGTCTCCAGAGAAATTTCAAGACATATTTGAATGTTCCTAAGGCTAGTAGAATTTATGGCATCATGCATCCTGGGAAATCCATTTGCCAAATTGAGGGCGAGACTTCAGTTCTGGCTAAAGAAAGTATCTGCTTCAAGAACAATCTGTATTCGTAGCTGGGAAGTCTAGGTATCTATCAGTTATTCTTCCATTAATTGGAATTAAGGGATCTTTCTGATTTCTTATTTTACTTTACTTGTTAGCAATCCCTTTCTGGATATTTTTCCTAGCACTGAATCTTCCAGCAGAGGGAGCTTTAATATTAAATTTAGTAGGAAGATAATTTTACAAAATATTCTGCATACTTAAAAAAAAGTCTCACTCTTTATATTTCATGGTCTTTTGATTTTGCAGAAGTGACCCTTAAAACTGTTTTAAAAGAACGATGAGGGGAAAAGATATCCTGTAAGCAGAAATACTTTTTTGCAGCTTTGTGTTACTATATTCTTTGTTGACCTGAAGTTGCAATTAAAGTCAATGAATATGTTGGACTAGTAATGCTGGGTCTGCTCCACTTCTATTTTCTTCCCATCCCTCTTCTTCTCCCACAAGAGAGACAAGATAAAGGTGGGAGAGTGGTTGGGAGATAGCGCTGGAGTAAATGTAATGTGTGATTTGTGTTTAAATGTGCTACCAGTTTATTGCTCCTCAGAGAATGCAGCAAAAAAGCGTTCAGTTACTGTACGTAGATGGCTGTTGTGACGGCCTGGCATCCTCCCCAGGGGTGGGAGGAGCTTGTGCTTCTCCTGCTTCTGGTGCTATGGCGTGGCGTCTACCTCCGTGGGTAGGAGACATTCCTGCCCTGGTGCTGCAGTCTGGCTTTTACCCCACAAGTGGGAGGAGCACCTACTCGCCCTGCTGGTGTGCAGTGTGACTTCTACTTAAGTTTGATTTCCTGTGGGAGTACAATGTACATTCAGACATATTCACTTCCATTCAGAAGTCTTGAGTTCTCTCTTTCTTTTGGTAGCGAGATGTGTGGCTCCTTTACTTCCACTTAAAAAAATCATCAGATATTTTCAACATATGCAAACATAAAACTATTTTTAAATGCTTTTATTTAGCTGCTGAATGTAACCTTGCCATCTGAATGACCTTGATTCTTGAACAGAGAGAAATGTTCTAAAAGCAAATGTTCCTGACACCTGCTGGTGGTTGTATGGATAATGAATATGAAGAGGAAAATTAAGCCTGGAGTTTCCAGATACATTGCAATAACAACATTGTCAGTGTTTTTAATATTTCAGCAATACCAGACCTGCAAAGATTTGGATCATCATACATAATCGATTTTTATATGTGGCAGGAAGTTTAAGAGTAGGCTATTGAAGAGGAAAATATACATAATGAATTTTTTTAATAATTGTGGGCTTGTGTTGATCTCAGCTGTAATATATAACATTGTATAATTTTCATTGGCTTATTTTCACATGTGCATTTAGTCAATAGCTTATTTTGCAAATACGCCATGAAACAAAATATGTAGCAGCTCGTACCAGTTTATTTTCTATATGTTTAGTTAAATCTTTCGGAGGAAGGGTGGTTTTTCATTTCATGTTTCTTTTGATTTTTCTCTTTCATTGTGATTACACTTTATGAATTGATAAAACATAAAACTTTTTTTCATAAAGTTGGAGTGTGATTTGATTTCTGTTTTGCTAGTAGTGGGAAGATTATAATTATAATTAACTGTTTGTTTACTTTCCATGTACAATTTTCAGAAACAGATGTATATACCTTTGGCCTTGGACAATATGGGCAACTTGGACATGGTACATTTATTTTTGAAACCTCGGTACCAAAGGCAGTGGAACATCTGAAGAGGCATAAAATATGTAACATTGCATGTGGGGAAAATCATACAGCTGTAATAGCAGGTATGTATGCTGAAACTTCTGAAATGTACTTAAAATGATAATGTATTATCATTTATGATATGGATTTTTTTTATTATAAAATGAGCACAGTGAGGAACAAACATGCAGATTTAATTTAAGGTTAAGTGACTGCCCAAGGCCATCCAGCTGTCAGTGGGAGAGCCAGATTGGAGTTTAGGAATTCTGTTTTTGACTTTCCGTACATAGTTATTCCTGTAGACCACACTACCTCTTAAGGAAGCTGTAGCCTCACAAACTCCTGCCTGACACTCTTGCATGAGTCTCAGTTTTGCTATACAGTTGTATTGTATTTTTTCTTAGTGTTTTATTTTTTGGTTACCTAGACTAACAATCCCAGTCAATACTTTTGTCTGAAAACGTATTTATCTTCTGGACCATATTCAGTAGTTTAAAAATCATACAAATCTCTGTTCATATTTGATTTTTGAAAATGAAATATACCTTGCTTTCAAAATATATTTAATTCTACTCTTATAACAATTTTGTCATGTGCTTTTAATGCACCTTCTACATGTTTCTTTTTCCATGTAGACAATGGCCTTATGTTTACTTTTGGAGATGGACGGCATGGCAAGTTAGGACTTGGAGAAGAGAATTTTACTAATCAATTCATACCCACCTTATGTTCTAATTTCTTGAAGTTTGCAGTCTATTTGGTAAGGCTTTGCTTTGCTCTCTTTTCTCAAACTTTGAAATGCATATACTTTATAAACATACCTTATTAAGGGAAATCTGACAGTTTAAAATCATATTTATAGTATTTCCTTATAGTATTAATACTGTAGATTAATACTGAAAGAATGTTAAAATGTTTTGTTTTATTTACCGCTTCCCATTCTGCTGCTTCACTTCTCGCTCTGTGGTCAGTTTGGACCATAAAAATAGACTAGTCCATTTTTCTTTCAGATTGTTGTGCACTTCCACAACACGGCAATGTTTAGGTTGCAAACACTTCAAAGGAATCTATACATTTCAAACAAAAAACTTTTAAACATTTTGGTAGTTTTAGTTTTAGGAATAGCCTTCCATCCCAATGTGTGGACCTAAACCACCTGGTGTATATCACTTTAATATCCAAGATTATTTATAATGTAGGTTATTTACAAAAGTTTAATAAAATGAAAATGTATTCATTTTTTAATCCAAACATGATGAGAAAAGAGAGGCAATATTGTTCTTTTAGGTTATTGTTTTAGTCTTCCTGCTGGTATTGAAGAAAATTGCTGTAATGCTAGCTCCAAACATTCAGAAACTGAGTCAGGCCCCAAAAGATCAATTAAACAAAACAAAACAAAAAAACCCATTTTGGATTCTTTTTATTTGCTTCTGTTTTTTGGGCCATCAACATGCCACTTGGGTCATGTTTTCAAGCTTTTCTCTACAACTATGAGGGATAGAAACTTTTTTTTAAAAAGAAAGCTGAGATTCTCATGTAATAACTTGTCTTCCATACTGGCTAGGGCTCTAGATAAAACATCAGATATTATGAGACTTGTGGTAGTTTGCAAGAGATGGTAACATTGTGTATATGTAATATTGGCTAACATCAAAATGATTTACTAAACTCCTTTGAAAATTGATGCAGAATTTGTTGCTTGCTTCTGGAGAGTTGGCTAGTTTTATTCTGTTTTACAATATATTGTACTTAAAAAGTTTCGATCCATTATATTTTTTAAACATCAGTGATTACAGTTTGTACTCTAACATACTGAAGTCTGTAACTAAGTGTGGAGCAAAACATTTGGAGCTTCTAACATGTTTCTTAGTCCTTGGTCCAGAAGATGAATGCAGGTCAATGAGATCCTTTTTGTGTTTACACTGTAGGTTGCTTGTGGTGGCTGTCACATGCTAGTTTTTGCCACTCCAAGGCCTAAAGGGTCTGAAGAAACACATGAAGATTTACGTGAAAACTGTTTGGCTGCTACAATCTCTAAACTGGGTGGTGATTCATTAGTAACTAACACCTTGCAGAGAACGTTATCGGCTCGAATGCGACGGAGAGAGAGGGTAAATTCAGAGCTAACTATTTCTGACATTTATTAAGTTTCCATGATTTTTTACAAGAAAAGAGACTTTTTAAAAAAATTTAAATTTATAGCTTACACTCACCAGATAAATATCCCTCTTTGAAATAAATGTTTGTATTTCAAGGTTCTTCTTTGAGTAATGTTCCTGTGAGTGCTCCACTTCAGGTGTGCCTGCACCCTGCACCTTTAATGGGAGATTTTGGTAACAGTGCCTATTCAGGTGCCCCACACATCCTTGTGCCTTGCAGCAAGGCTATATGGGGCTGTGCAGACAAACTGTCCTCAGTTCCTTCTCAACTGCCTTCAGCCTGAGACAGTGTCTACTGTGTGCCTGTTCTCTTTATTATTCAGCAGTTAGTTAGGGTATGTCTACACTACGGGATTACTCCGAATTTACAGAATTTGATTTTTGGCAACCAATTGTATAAAGTTGAGTGCATGCGGCCACACTAAGCACATTAATTCGGCGGTGTGCGTCCATGTGCCAAGGCTAGCGTCGACTTCTGGAGCGTTGCACTGTGCGTAGCTATCCCATAGTTCCCGCAGTCTCCCCCGCCCATTGGAATTCTGGGTTGAGATCCCAATGCCTGATGGGGCCAAAAATTTGCCGCGGGTGGTTATGGGTAAATGTCGTCAGTCAATCCTTCCTCCGTGAAAGCAACGGCAGACAATCATTTCGCGCCCTTTTCCCTGGATTGCTCGGGCAGACGCCATAGCACGGCAACCATGGAGCCCGTTCAGCCTTTTTTCACTGTCACCGTATGTCTACTGGATGCTGCTGACAGACGCGGTACTGCAGCACTACACAGCAGCATCCCCTTGCCTTTGCAAGTTAGCAAAGACGGTTACTAGCCATACTGTACCGTCTGCTGCTGTCATGGGTGCTCCTGGCCGGCCTTGGTGAGGTCGGTCGGGGGCGCCTGGACAAAAATGGGAATGACTCCCCAGGTCATTCTCTTCTTTAAGTTTTGTCTAATGGAGAGTCAGTCCTGCCTAGAATATCAGGCAAGCCTACTAAAGGACCAGAGAGGCAAACGGCCGCTCCGGGTCAGAGCCCCAGACATCCCGCAGAAATGATGAGCTGCATGCCATTCTAGGGGGTGCCCCTACAACAACCCCACCCGTTGCTTCCCTCCTCCCCTACCCCTCCCGGGCTACCTTGGCAGTTATCCCCCCATTCGTGTGATGAAGTAATAAAGAATGCATGAATTTGAAACAACACATACTTTATTGCCTCTGCAAGCAGAGATCAAAGGGCGGGGGGAGGGAAGGGGAGGGCGGTTGGCTTACAGCGAAGTAGAGTGCACCACCATTCTGCACTTGCTCAGTCTATAGCTGAAAATGGGAATCTGTGATAAGGACTAGGATAGAAGCACAGGCAGGACTGAATCTCCATTTGTGTGTGGGCCTTTGGTTGACACTGGTAAAATACAAAATGTCCCAGGATCTGTATGTTGGGGGACAGTTCTAAACGGCAGCTTAATTTTTTTATTTGCAGCAAAATGTAGAGGTCTAAGTATCTGATTGTGAGCCCTTGGAGCAAGGTGTAGGCTGGGGTAGGTGTGACCGCGCGGTGTTTCCGCCTGGGAGAGCAGCCTGAGGCAGAAGCCTCCAGATGGCATGATATTCCAGGCAGGACTGAATCTCCATTACACAAAACTTAAAGAAGAGAATGACCTGGAGTCATTCCCATTTTTGTCCAGGAGCCCCCGACCGACCTCACCAAGGCCAGCCAGGAGCACCCACGGGACGACGATGACGGTTATCAGTCATACTGCACCGTCTGCCGTCCGCAAGGCAAGGCAAGGAGATGCTGCTGTGTAGCGCTGCAGCACCGCGTCTGCCAGCAGCATCCAGTAGACATATGGTGACAGTGAAAAAAGGCAAGAAACGATTTTTTCCCCTTTGCTTTCACAGAGTGGGGGGGGGGAGAGGGGGCTGACGACATATACCCTGAACCACCCGCTACTATATTTTTGACCCTTCAGGCATTGGGAGCTCAACCCAGAATTCAAATGGTTTTCGGAGAGTGCGGGAACTGTAGGATAGCTACAGTCGTCAGTCGCCCCTCCCTCAGTGAGCGTCCATTTGATTCTTTGGCTTTCTGGTACGCTTGTCTCAGCTCTTTAAGTTTCACGCAGCACTGTGTTGAGTCCCTGTTGTGGCCTCTGTCCATCATGACCTTGGAGATTTTTTCAAATGTTTTGGCATTTCATCTTTTGGAACGGAGTTCTGATAGAACAGATTCATCTCCCCATACAGAGATCAGATTCAGTATCTCCCGTACGGTCCATGCTGGAGCTCTTAGGGAGCTGATGGTCACCTGTGCTGATCAGCGCTCCACGGTCGGCAAACAGGAAATGAAATTCAAAAGTTCGCGGGGCTTTTCCTGTCTTCCTGGCCAGTGCATCTGAGTTCAGATTGCTATCCAGAGCGGTCACAATGGTGCACTGTGGGATAGCTCCCGGAGGCCAATATCGTTGAATTGCGTCCACACTAACCCTAATTCAAACCGGCAATGTCGATTTCAGTGCTACTCCCCTCGTCGGGGAGGAGTACAGAAATCGATTTTAAGAGCCCTTTATGTTGACAAAAATGGCTTAGTTGTGTGGACGGGTGCAGGGTTAATTCGATTTAACGCTGCTAAATTCAACCTAAACTCATAGTGTAGACCAGGCCGTTGTATGTAGTTAGTTATTTTATAGTGTTTGTAGTTCCCTTTTTTCTTTTCCTTTCTCTTAAAAAAAAAATATTGTTGTAAAATCTTTCCCTATTTAGGGGTCATTTTTTGTTATTTTGCTTGGGTAATCCAGGTTCCCCAGGATTTAAAAGGTGCCTCTGTTGCTGTGAGGCTGTCCCAATCAGGCATTCTCAGTGCCTTCGTTGTTTGTGAGATACTCATATTCCCAGTAAGTGCATAATCTGCACTTCCTTCAATGATAGATCCTGAAAAAATAGGGAGATCAAGTTTAAACTCCTGATGATGGAGCAAGCCCTAAAACTTGCTTCAGATCCAGGGCGGAAGACAACCCTGTATATAGATGTCCCAGAACAGCTTGTGCCCCATCCACATCAATATCCTGGTCACTGGAGGTCGATAGAGATGTAGGCAGTATCATGGCACTGATTGCATCTATGGCACCAAAGACCTCAGCAAAGGTAGCCTTGACATCTGCCTCTATTCAGAAAGAGATAAAGAGTAAATCTCTGAGACAGTCTTGGTCAGTGGTGCACAAGAAGGCTATGTAGACCTCAGGTCCCCAGGGGAGTATCATGCAGGGTCTAAGTGATTCCGGTACTGCGAAGACTGTTTCAAGGAGTCAGTCCTCAAAGACAGACTCAGTACCGAACTCGGGTATCATACCCAGAGCCATAGACACTCTTCCGAGAAGAATTTTAGTCTCATCCCTGAACATCAGTTGGTACCGGCCACTTGGAAGTCTTTGCTACTGAAGACTGCTTGACTGGTGTAATTAGAGTCTACTCATTCCCATGCCAAGCACTTGGTGCTAGCTACATCAGTACCGAAGCTGTCCTCCACAGGTTCTTGCTTGGGCCTGTCGTTGATGCCATAGAATTTAGATACTCTAAGGATCTTCTAGTATCTTCAGAGTCAGAATCTCCTCTGCTAACTGGTATCGGGGGTTTACCCTCATCAAGATTTACTTGGTCACTGACCCCATCCATCATCTAGAATATCATACTCACCCTCGTTTACAACACAAGCAGAACAGTTATTTTCCCTCCTCCCCCTCTTGGATATGTTGAAGAGGACTCCTCTGACTCTCAAATTTCAGAACAGGCTTCCCCTGTCTACTCTAGAACACATTGCTGCCTCTCCTACACTGAGGCATTGGAGGAGGATAGACCTCAAAGGACACCCATATGACAAGAAGAGAGATGGTTGCCTCCACCTATCCCATATGCCCCCCCACCAGAGGCCTTGTTGGGAGCTATGGGCATTCTGTCAACAGTTTTGTGATGAAGTTATCACACCACCGAAGGAAGCAAAGAAGAGTACATTCCCCAACCACCTGTGGCACCATGAATGCCAGGGGAGAGAAGCTTTGTGGAGTTGGAATCAAGGGCAGACAAGGAGGTAACACCTCTTACAAATATTTTCTCCTCATCGTCTGAAGAAGTTGTGATGTCTCCACCATCTTCTCTGGCAGATGACTTCAGGTAGTTGCAGGAACTGATGAAATTGCTGACACACAGTTCAGGAGTCACACCATAAACTCCTACATATTTTACCTATGTCAAAATTCTTGAGGATTGTCATTCCGGTCAACAAAGCTCTTATGGAACCTGCTAAGACGGTTTGGCAAACCCCAGCTACCACACTGCTTATCCGCAAGAAGGTGGATTAAAAAGTATTATGTCCCTTCCAGGAAATCATAATTTCTATTTTCTCACCTAGTGCCAAATTCTCTGGTAGTGAAGTCTGTTAATGAATGGGGCAAACAATATATCTCAAAGTCCACCCCATACAGCAAGGACCACAAGAAGCGCTATCTTTTTGGCCATAAATCTTCAGCCACACTTCATTTTAGAATAGTGAACCATCAGGTGCTCATGGCGAAGTATGCCTATTTGAATTACAACAAATTTAATTCCTTTATTGATCATCTGGCAGAGAAACATTGTGACCAATTTAAGGTCATTATTCAAGAGGGTCAGCTCCTGGCAAAAACATTGCTCCAGGTCTCCTTGGATGCTTCAGATACTGCAGCACAGTCTGAGAAAAGCGTCTTGGGCTGCAGCTGTTGTAAAGCTTCCCAAGAGAGGTCCAGAGTACCACTGAGGACCTTCCCTTTGATATTCACAAGCTCTTTGCGGACTCAATGGATACATCTTTCCACATTTTAAAGGACTCGAAAGCCATGCTGAGATCCTGATTTATACGCCTGTAAATAAGAGTTTTAGTAAGTCTCAGAGGGCACAAAGATCATGCCCAGCCCCCAATTCAACTTACCATAGATCATCTGAGCCCCTGGCCAGGAAGCCAAGATTTGTGACTCTTGACCTACAAGACACGTTTTCATGTCGCTATTCACCTTTCATACAAGAGGTTTCTTCATTTTCTAATCAACAACAAACACTTACGAATATCACATGCTCCCTTTCAGGCTATCTTCTGCTCCAGGGTATTCTCAAAAATTCTGGTGGTAGTTGCCACCCACCTACGTTGTCTGGGTATAATAATTTCCCCGTATCTGGACGATTTGTTGATTGGGGCAGATCTTATCAGGAAGTGTTGGTGGCTGTAAAGATGACGTGTTCTCTGTTCCACAGCCTGGGCCTTCAACTCAACCTCTAAGTCTGTTTTGACTCCAGTACAGTATCTAGATATCATAGGAGCTTGCATGGATGCAGTGACAGGCAGAACATGCGTCTCTTCCAGCAGATATCTTGCACTGAGTCTTATCTCAAGGATTCATGGCAGTCCTCAAGTAACAGTAAGAGATTGTCATCAACTGCTGGGGCACACATCAGTTTGCGTCTTTGTAATGCAACATGCCAGATTACATTTCCGAAGTCTCCCTGGATGGCTTTGAATGGCTTACAAATCAAGCAAGCACATTAAGGGAAGATTAGTGTCTGTTCCCCAATGGGTTCTATGGTCATTCAACTGGTTGAAGGACCTGACCAAAACCTGCACAGTACCCTCCTACCATAATGATAATGTCAGATGATTCAGTGTTGGGTAGGGGGATACATCTGGGACCTCAGAAGATACAAGGCAAATGCTCACTACAAGAGCAGCTTCTCCTCATCAATTGTCTGTAATTGAGAGTGGTCAGAATTGCTGGCCTATGCTTTAATCAGAGTCAAGTCAGTAAAGATAATGACAGACAATGTGAAATACATGTACTATATCAACTGTCAGGGAGGAGCACATTCCCCATCTCTGTGCTGAAGTGATCAAAACTCTGGCATTGGTGCATAGCCAACCAGATAGTCATTGCAGTTTCTTTCCTCCCTGGTATTCAGAATACCATGGCAGATGACCTCAGCAGAGATTTCTTTCTAAATTACGATTGATAACTGGACTCTTGAGTCCTTGACACAGTATTCATAGCTTGAGGGTTCCCAGAGGCTCACCTGTTTGCAACAGCAGCCAATGCAAAATGCATCAAGTATTGCTCCAGAGGGGTCTCAGTCCCCAGCCCATAGGAGACACTTTTTTCATTTAATGGACAAGGGATCTTCTCTACGCTTATCCACAGACACTGTTGTTGTTGAAGGTTCTCAACAAGGTCACACAAGATCAGGCCAGGTTAATAGTGCTTGCACCAGCGTTATTCAAACAAGTTTTGGATCCCTGTCTAATTAGACTCAACTCTGGTGCTCCATAGCATCTTCCAGTCAGTTCTCATCTGCTGACTCAGCATGCCAGTTAAACACTTCACCCCAACCTGCAGATTCTGAGGCTCCAAGTATGGTTCCTCAAAGGTTTTCTGAAGTAGAGATATCCTGTTCATCAGAAGTACAACACGTTTTATTAGATCAGTGTTCTTCATTGCAAGGCCTGTGAGCCAGTGGTGACTCCCATCGATCCTAAGTGTGGCTTGCTAAATTCCTCTAAGCTGCACGGCTGCGCAGCAGGCTATAAATAGCCATGCAGCAGCTCTAAAGGGCCATGCAGCAGCGACCTGGAGAGGAGAGAGGTGAGGCTGGGCAGGAACTGGGGAGGGGATCAAGTTGGGGCTTGCAGGGCTGCTGTGGGCCTCTCCCCCAGGCCCCGGAGCTCCCTGCTGCCAGAGGGGGGAGAGAGGCCCCTCTCCCAGAGCTCCGGGCTGCCTGCCAGCGGGGGGGGAGAAGTCCCTTCCCCGGAGCTAGCTGCTGTCAGCAGGGAGAGGGCTGGGGGGATTCCTCTAGCCCTAGCCCCGGGGCAGCCTACCTGCGCCTCAAATGCCTCATCCCCGGCCCCACCTCAGAGCCCGTACCCCCAGCCAGAGCCCTCAGACCCCCAACCCTCTGCCCCAGCCCTGAGCCCCCTCCTGCACCTTGAACCCCTTATCCCCAGCCCCACCCCGCAGCCAGAGGGGTGAAAAGAAAACAGAGGAATAAATTGACCAACGAACATTTGGACTGCTTTACTAGGATTGCGATGACAGATTACAAATACTGCATAAACAAAGTCAAGGAGGAACAAGCACACTTTCACTCATCCAGTTTTTAAAGTAAGTTTTGCATTATTCCGCTCTTAAAAAGTTTACTCGCATAGGTGCCTTTTTAATTCCTTATATTTTCCTGGTTATTATTTTATAAAAGGAGTATCGTTTTATTGTACAAGTAGACTTTGTTTTAGTTACACGAGTGGCTCTGTAACATTACATCATTAAGGAATAGGAAGCAATGTGTTAATTTAGTAGTTGATGTGGCTCTCACATTGAAGGTTTTTTTCCAAAGTGGCCCCCACTTCAAAAATAGTGAGGAGCACTGTATTAGATAGTAGAAAAAAATCTACAAGAAATACTTACCTCCTGAAATGAAAATATCATCTTTGGTGTAACATTAAGGACTCACTGTTCTCTTCCCATGGTATTGGATTACCTGTTGGAATTGAAAACATCAGGATTTTCTGTGAATTCCATTAGGGTCCACTTAGCTTCAATTCACTTTATCCATAAGGATTTTTTTTGGTCTTCGCTCACCCAATCATGGCAAGATTCCTAAGAGGTTTATCGGATCTCTCCCCTCAAATCAGAGATATTAGTCCCAGCTGGGACCTGAACCTAGTTCTTAATTGCCTCATGAAACATCCTTTTGAGCCACTAGCTGTGTGTTCTTTATTAAATTTATCAATTAAGATAGCTTTTCTGGTGGCCATCATGTCTGCCTTCGGGGTTGGAGAATTGAGGGCTTTAATGGCAGACTCCCCATTTATGGTATTCACCAGAGACAAAGTGTGCTGTGGCCCCTTCCAAGATTTTTACCAAAGGTGTCATCAGAATTTCATATTAAACTATTTATCTCCTGTTTCCCCCCCTCCCCCCACCCCAAACCACATCAGAGTCAGGAAGCTATATTCTGTATCCTAAATGTTAGGAGGGTATTAGCCTTTTATCTAGCTAGGACCAGGCTGTTTAGATCTAGATTGTTTGTATCCATTGCAGACAGAAACAGGGCATCGGTAATTTTCAAACAGAAGGTTATCAAAGTGGATCTCTGGCTGTATTAAGGTCTGTTACAACCAAACTCGGGTTCAGCCTCCTTCGAGAGTGATAGCACATTCCATAAGAGCACTATATAGAATCTGTAGCCTTACTTAAAGTCATACCAGTTGCAGAGATCTGTAGAGCATCAACATAGTCCTTTGTTCATGCTTTTTCTAACCATTATGCCTTCGTTCCTGCTGCAAGATCAGATGCTGCAGTAGACAATGCAGTTCTTTCCTCTGCTCTTAATCTCCTGCCTCCTCACGGGGTGCTGCTTGGGAGTCACCTGAAGTGGAACATTCACAGGAACACTAATTGAAGGAGGAGAGGTTATTCACCCTATGTAGTAACTGGAGTTCTTTGAGATGTGTGTCCCTGTAAGTGCTCCACTAGCTGCCCTCCTTCCCTTCTGCTTTGGCGTCTCCCTGGTGGGACTTTATGGTAGAGAAGGAACTGAGGGTGATTCACTTTTGCAGCCCCGTATAGCCTGAATGTGGGGCAGAAGGATGTGTAGGATGCATGTGCAGGCTGAACAGGCATTGCAACCAAAATCTCCAGTCAAAGGTGCAGGGTGCAGGCACACCTGACGTGGAGCACCCACAGTGACACACATCTGGAAGAACTCCAGTTACTGCACAAGATGAGTAACCTCTTCTTACTTGATGATGGGGAAAAAATGGGTAATTGCCCTGTTTTGCTTTTTTATGATCTGTAGAGGCCTGAAATTTAACAATGTGTAAGAGCCTGCTGCTTTTTGTTCCTCTCTTTAGAGATATCAGGAATGTTGAATCTCACCTTCCCTGTTTTTCCAGGGGCTTCCTTTGGAGGCCCCTGAGAAGTAAATTAGGAGATTTCTTGTCTGTTTATCTAATGTGTGAGTTAAATTGGTGTTTGGTTTTTGTTTTGTTAACCTGAATAAAAATTACTTCCTCTTAAGTAATAAGGTTTTGCTTCCTTGATATCTGTGGTGTCATAAAACCACCAGTTCTCCAGTTGTCCATAGTGTCTTATGGGGGATGGGGAGAAACAGTGTAGAGAACATTTGAATTTATAATGTAAAAACCAGGAAAAGAAAAAGGGGATGACTTTAGCGTTGGGGAGGAGAAACTTTTCATGCCTTCTTTATACATCATGAAGAAACAGGAAATCACACAAGCCCATTTTTCTTCAGAAACCAGCTTCCAAGTTTTGTTTATGCTAAGCTCTGATGCTATTATTATGTATCGTAATGAAACATATATTATATTTCTACAGATTCTTACATTTGAAATGAGTGTAGAAATGTGCGAACTTATGAATTTTGACCTGTTCAAATTACCATTAGTTTAATATTAAAAAGATATATCCCTTGAAGGCCATTGTGCCCTTTTGATACCTTTGAATTTTGAAATCCAGTTTCCATTCTACAGAATGTAGATAAATACAAAATAAAGGGAAAATATTCTATGTACCTAAATTGTGGATTAAATAAACTCTCATTCTTTTAAAATCATAATGGAAGCTCTTTTTTATTGTTGCTTATTTTAAGATATTGAACAATTATTTGACTGTTGTGTGGAAAGCATCAGCTTAATATACCTATCAATTTTTTTAGGACTGTAAATAATTGAAGAGTACAAACAGCTTTTATCATACTTAATTACAGTATTTTCCTCTAGCAAATATTGTAATTAAAGTATGAGAAGGTGATTTTCTCTTATCAGTCTCAGAATGTTCTCAACACTTTCTTAAAAAAAATTTTTTTAAGGAAAAATCTCCAGAACAGTTTTGTCGAATGGTGCGAACGTTACCTCCGTTGGGAGAAGGCTCCCTAAAACCTTCTTTACGTGCTGCCAGCAACACTGTCCCACTCAGTTTACTCACAACAAACCATCCTGCTGTAACGGAAGTGAATACAAATAAAGCAATTGAATCTACTGTGGACTGTAAAACAGGTGAAACATAATGTTTCTGTTCGTTGCTGTCTTCCAAGCGCTTGATATATACTGTTTGTACTTATGTGAGAGAACAACTCATTTGAAGATTGAGGACTTTCATAACTTGCGACTGGGCACTACACCTGGGTCTCAACCCAGTGTTTGCTGGCCAGATTCTGAGAGAGCACAAAAACAAAGGCTGGAAAGTAGTTCTGGGGAATCTGTTCCTCCCCAGCCCTTTTGTGGAAAAGATGTTTAAGGATTTCGCAGGGAGGGTTAATTGAAAGAAAAAACAACTGCTATTGTTTACCTATAGTTCCTGCTATCTAAAGACCTCAAACATACATGAGTTTAGCCTCACAACAGCCCTGTAAAGTAGGTAATTGTTATCCTCATTTTATAAATAAGGAAACTGCCGCACAGAGTGATTAAGTGACTTGTCCAAGACACTACAAGTGTCCGTGGCAGAATTAGGAAGAAAACCTGGGTCTTTCCCAATTCTGTACCTTAACCACAAGACTGTTTCTTCCTTGGAAATTAAAAAGTACAATATTACTAAAAGGCTCATCCAAAAGGAACTTTGCTCCAGGTGACTCTTTTGCATTGAAAATCTGCAAAAATGAGCTGAGACTTGCAATGCCCTGGGATGCATTGGTCTGCTAGACTTCATTCTGGTCTTAACCTAAACTAATGTGGAGGAGCTGCCACCTGGGGTTAGGGGATGGGGCATGTCAGGGAGCTAAGGCACCATCTGTGTAAGGATAATAATACTTCCCTACCACATAAGGATGATGTTTGGCTTGCTATATATCACCTGCTCCAATTTATTGTACTTATTGTTTATATTTTTTATTTTCTTGTTTTATTTTTAAGAGGATCGGAAGCAGGAAAAAGATAAACCTGAAGAAAGTACCACAGAGGAAGATTCAGATAAGGAAAGTGATGACAGAAGCCTTGGAAACACAACTGATGTTCTAAATATGGTAAAATACTCACTACTAAAATTGTGGCTTAGCAATCATTTTGAGGGAAAACATAGCAGTAACATTTTTTGTGATATGGCTGTAATAAAAGTAGTCACCATACCTTGGTACCCCCAAGTTCTAGGGGCTCCCTTTATGCCAGCACAGACCCCAGTCTGGGGCATCTGTTACTACAAGGGCCACAATCCCTTTATGTCCTTGGCTTGTTTGAGTTAGTGGACTCCACCTCTTTGTTTTTCCTCCTCAGAGAATAGGACCTTTCATGTCTCCCGGGATGGACAATTGCTATTTGTTTCTTGAATATTAATAATCACAATCCAAATTATAATTGTGTTTAAACCAGATACGATTCATTCAAGAAAGAGAGAGAAGAAGTAGATAAAAACAAAAAATAAAATGGTAGCATGAACTTTATTCTCATCTAAGCAAGAACTGCACAGAGTCCTGCTAAAATGTACTAGCCATCTTAGTTGCAAAGGTTGAAGGTTGGTAGTGCTAACCATACTCACTGATGTCTGTATGTGCACCTCTTGCTTTGTCTTTGTTTCCTAATTGATTCATCATAGGAGCCTGTCACAGGGCGTGGCCCTCATAGCCAGACTGCCGCCTCCTCCTGGTCATGCTGGGGATTAGCTCAAGGCCAACACCCACATCCCCACCCAGGCCTATGGCTCCTCTGTTAGCTTCCAGACCTGCAGCGTCCTCTTTGCAACTCAGCTGTCCGGCCGTATCATTATCCAGGTTTCCCCCTTCGGGGGGGGGGGGGGAAGAGAGTTGGGTATCTCTGTCCAACAGTCCAGCCACTTCCCCAGGCCCGCTCACTACTCCGGGCCCCAACCCAGGGTCCCTGTAAATAGCAGACTCTTGCTGCTCCTCTGTAACCTCTGTCGATGCTGCTCCATTTCCCTAGTCAATTTCCCCAGGGCCCAGCACCTTCTTCACCCTCACCTCAGGGCACCAGGAACCAGTCACTGCTCTGCTTACAGTTCTCTCAGCCCTCCAGTAAGGGATGCAGTCCTTACTCCCTGGGCTCCCAGCAGCAACTGCCCCTACTCTGTTTTTATCTGAGCCTGCTGGGCCCAATATGGCTGCTTCTAGCAACTCCTCCGATTGGCTGTGCTTCACACAGCCTCTCCGGGCTGCTCAGAGGACTCACCTCCATTGCTCCATCCGTGGCGGCCCTGATTAACCCCTTCTGTGCCTGTGTGGGGAAGGCATCCCATCATATACCCTTCCCCTCAAGCTTGCAACCCTCGGCGGGTATGGATGTCTCCAGTCCTGCATCTGCCTCAGCTGGGCTCATAGGTCATCCTTCTCCTGCTCTACGCCTTTCAGCAGGAAGCACACGTTTTCCTTCTCCTCTTTCACATACCAGGCCTGGTCTCTCTGGAACTATAAGTTCCCCTCTGCTATTTGCAGGGCTTCCTCGGCTGCATCCAATTTCTCACTCAGCTCCTTCACCTGCCCCTGAGGGTTCCCCAGTCCCTTTTCCCCCAGGGTCTGGGTCCCCACAGTAGCCTGCTACACCTCTAGGTTCACCCCTACATCTTTCTGTCTCAGTCTTTGTCAGTTAGCTCTTTCTTACACTCTACCAAGTGTGTGGGTGGAACCCTCTACCCTTTCATGTGGTTCCCCCCACTGTCTCTGTACTCCAAGCATGGGCTTCCTGTCCCCCCTTCCTGGCAACCTTACCCCTCTCTGGGCCATTCCTCTTCTCCCTATGAGGGCACTTTCTTTCAAGGTGCCCCAACTCCCCACATGAACAACAGAGGGGGGCCCCTACCTACTCTCTTAGCAAGTGGGCCTCTTTTGGGCATCCTTGCCAATCTCATTTCCTGGGGACCTTCTTCATTACAACTCACATAGGGGCACTACCTGTGTAGGTGTCCTCTCTGGCAACAGACATAACTTTGGCTGGGCTTCTGGCCTCCAGGCCTTGGGTCTTGCCCCCTGTTCCCAGCCCTTATGGTCTTTCCTGTTCTTCTCCCTCCGGCACCTAAATAAGTACTGCTGCTGCACCATAATACCTAGCAACTACTCCTGCAGGTACTGGTTTGCCTCCCACAGTCTTTGCTGATTTTCAAACATGTGCATCAGCAGGGCCTGGATCCGCCCTTGCTGCTTGCCACCCCCAACGAAGGGGATAGACAAGTGTGGGGTCCAGTCTGGGAGCGTTTTGCTGCCCTCTGCAGAGTGCCTCTACCCAGGGCTACTCCGTAGTCTTTTCTCTCCCCCGCACTCACCTCAGTGGTGTCTGTGCTGCACTGCGCCACACTCTTCCCTTGTGTCAGGATGACCGTGCTATGTAGTCTCTTCAGTTCCCTTTCCTCAGGGTCAACTTCCCATACAATTCTTCACCCAGCGCTTAGTCCTCTGCACCATCCCCTTATCTCAGGGGCGACTGAATGCCTGTAATGGGGTGCAGCCTTCATCACCAGACCGGTGCCTCCTCCTGGTTGTGCTGGGGATTAGCTTGAGTCCAACGCCCAGGTCTGCAGTCTGCACACCAGCACTCTGTCTCTGCTCCTGCCTATGGCGCCTCTCTCAGCTTCCAGAACCGCAGCGTCTTCTTTGTGACTCAGCCCTCCGGCCGTGTCACCATCCTGGTTTCCCCCTTCTGGGGGGTGGGGAGAGGGGGATCTCTGACCAACAGTCCAGCCACTTCCCCAGTGGCAAGTGAGGGGGACAGAAGCCTGTCCGCTACTCCAGGCCCCAGTCCAGGAACCTGGTAAATAGCACCCTCCTGCTGCTCCTCTGTAACCTCTGTCAAAGCTGCTCCATTTCCCTGGTCAGTTTCCCCATGGCCCAGCACTTCCTTCGCCCTCATGTCAGGGCACTCAGCTGCTCAGTCCCAGTAGCCAGCCACTGCTCTGTCCAAGGTGCTTACAGTTCTCTCAGCCTTCCAGGGATGCGGTCCTTACTCCCTGGGCTCCCAGCAACAACTGCCCCATTCTGTCCTGCAGCTCCTTTTTATCTGAGCCTGCCAGGCCTGGATTGGTTGCTCCCGGCAACTCCTCCCTGATTGGCTGTGCTTCATGCAGCCTCTCTGGGCCACTCGGAGGACACCTCCATTGCTCCGTACAGGGCGGGGCCTGGTTAACCCCTTCTATGCCCCTGTGGGGTAGGCACCCCATCACAGCGCCCGTAAGGCTGTTGCTTTTGCATATACACCACTACACGGATATAACGCGACCCGATATAACACGAATTCGGATATAACGGTAAAGCAGTGCTCCAGGGGGGCGGGGCTGCGCACTCCGGCGGATCAAAGCAAGTTCGATATAATGCGGTTTCACCTATAACGCGGTAAGATTTTTTGGCTCCCGAGGACAGCGTTATATCGGGGTAGAGGTGTATCTGAAAAATTTTGTGACCCTGATGACAGGAAGAAACTGTTTTATAGTCAGCTCGTCATTCTTCTTGTTCAAACACTCCCACCTTATCAAGACACCTAACCATCCCTGTTTTACCAGGACAGTCTTGGTTTTTCATATGAAATCCCTTAATCCTGAGGACTACTATAGAGATGCTTGAAATGTGCTGATCTCTCATTTCATCATTGAAAATATTTGGATATTTTTATTACAAAAAGTTTGTTCAAGTGGTATTGGTATAAAATATTTTGTGTACCACTAATTCTCATCACACAGTGAGTGTTTCATGCTGCCATTGTTCAAGGCTACAGCTTGTGTGTGTGTGTGTGCGCGCGTGCGCTCCTGGCACAGCTTTTTTGATACAGGTGGAGGAGACTAAAGAAAGGATCCCAAATATGGAGCATTTGAGTATTTCACAACCCTAAAACATCTTGCCATAATATTTTTTGGGGGGGTTTTAAACAATGTTTAATGTATCACCTACATATCTTTGCCTATCCTATCCAGGCATGCTAGAGCATGTCCCAGCCCCATCCATTGTTTAGGAACTGGTGAATCCAGATCAGCATTATGGAGAGGCAATAGTGTAGTTTTTTTACTTCAGTGGGACTTAAGCACGTGTTTAAGTGCTGTGCTGAATTGGTGCCATAGTGAACATAATGTATCTATGTTCCCAAATGTGCTTTGGTTGATGCAGTGCTTTGCAGGAGCCATTATTAGTTTGGCCAGAGTTCCTTGCTAATTTAATCATTTACATTTTTTAAAAACGTGTCATTTTTTCTTTTTTGTATGTAAATGATATTTAAAAAATAAAATAAAAAATGTTCCCAAAAGTGATCCACAGATAATATTTTGGGAATTTCTTCTGTAAAAGCAAATTAGATATAGTAGCAATGGAATGAGAGAGAGAGATTTATTTTTTTTAAAAATGAAACAAAAAACTTCCCTGAAATATATCACATTTGTAAAAGAATGGTGAAAATACTCCATACATATTTGGTGTAAAAATTGCCAAATATACAAATTAAAATAGGTCTTGAAGAATTTACTAACATATGAAGAAATCTGTTTTTTTAATATCTTGCATTCATCATGTACTGTCTGTATGCCAGGCATATTTTCACTTTTTTTTGTGTTTTCTGTTTTTGTTTTTTTGTATACTGGGTTATGAACAAATTCAGAAGTGCCTTTCTGTTAATAGACCGATATAGAAGTAGTAGAAATATATATTTTAAATAGCTGTTTGAAAAGATGTCTGTTTCAGGAAAATGTATCAAGATGGAAATAGAAGTGATTATTCTTCCTCGTGCGAAATTACCTGTTTACAGCACAGCTACTCCAATTCTAAATGGCAGCAATGACTGTTTTTTGTAGGCCGCAAAGGCATGAAAAGCCTTGGTGGTGTTTTTTTGATGGTGTTAGTAGACGGGATATGTGGGTATTTCTATTTTTAAAAAACTCTCTTAGAAACTAAAATGTTGTTGGTTCAGGGGAAAATCAGCAGTTCTGCACATGGTTCTGATCATGAGATTAGGTGTTAGTTACTGCCATTCAGTTGGCGATTATCTTGTTGCAGCGGTGACAGATTTTCTTTCTAAAAGAGAATTGATTGTGACCATGGGAGAAACTGAGGATCTCCCCCCCCCTTTCATATTTAAGTGAAAAGGCACTACGGCAGTAGTCAGAACTCTGTGATGCATGGAAGGTGGCTTCAAAGTGTACTTGTAGATGGTTACAGAATGGCGAACTGTTGGTTCATTAAAAGCGGAATTAAACTGTTTGCTAAAAATGGTAATTTGACAGTCTTTTTCCTCAAGCTGTGTGCGTAGTGGTATTAAGATGTTCATGTATTTCATGATACCATGCTGTAGCTGTTTTGGACCCTGACACTGCCTCAGTTTCCCCTCTGTGGTGTTCTCAAAACTGCATCGTGACTCTTGGAAATCAAATAAATGTGGGGGTTAATTTAGTAAAACATCACAGTTGAAATTGCAGCTTTCATCTTAAATGAAAACATGTCTTTTCCTGACTCAACTGTTTCCTCAGATCCTTGTTAGTCTCAACAGTTCTTTAGCAAAACCCACGTGTTGCTGCCTGGCATTTCCTCACGCCTTTTTTATCATTAATTTTTTATTATTATTATTTTATTATTATTTCTTCTTATCTCAGAAAGTGCTATCTTACTACTGTCTGCAAGACAGTGTGGTGGTATAAGCTCCCATAGATCAATCTTTGCTCTTCTTTTAGCTGCATTAGGATTTAGAATTATAGCGAAATTAATATCCTATTCTGTAGTTTCTTAGATGTATAGGACTTGAATGTTTCCTGGCCAAGACTTTAAAAAGTGTATGTCTGAAATTAGGCTCCTAAATCTATATCTAGGCACATAAGTCGGTGGCCTGAATTTTCAAATATGCTTAGCATCCAGGAATTCACAGTGCAAAACAGTGGGAGCTGTGGGGTGCTCAGGACATTTAAAATTAAGCCACTGATTTGGAAGCCTAACTTTAGGCACCCTTTTAAAAAAAAAAAAAAAAAAAAATACAAAAAGGTGTCCCCTCGATCCTAAGATCACTTGAATGAGCCCAGTGTGAATATACTGGAGACCTCTTAAATGTCATCTTGTAGATTATTATTTTTAAATAGTCTGAAGAATTTAATTTACATAATTGAACAATAGAATACATTTCTTCACAGCAGTTTCAATTACAATTTAATTGACAGGCTTAATGTTTGGGAAATATTTTTAGATCCTCTGATGAAACCTATTAAATGTAAATAAGGTATCAATCTTATTTAACTCATGTTTATTAATTAGCTTACATTTCATTCTTTAATTTGTATCCCCATTCTTTTCAGACACATATGATGAGATTGAATCCCAGTGACCAGTCCTTAAAATTATCACCAGTTCAAAAACAAAAGGTACTGTAATTAATCATGTTTGAAATGTAGAAAATGTATAACTCTTTTCATAGGGCATCCTCTTTCTTTCCTTTCTCTTTTTTGCTCCTAATTCTCATAAAGTAAACCTCAATTTCTATAGACTTCTTCCTACATAAAACTTTTAGGCCTGGATGCTGCAAACGGCTCCACCTGGTAGATCCCTGAGTGTACAAGGAAATCACTGGGGCTCTGTGCAGATGCAGGGGTCTGTCTGCTTGGAGCAGTTTGAGATGAGCTATTATAATACTGTAATTGAAGGGGCAGTATACTGTAACTTACATTATACATTTTGTAACGTACAGTAATGATAACTTGCCATTTACTTGATTGCTGATACTAGAATATTTGGATTAAAATCCAGGTCAAAATATATGTAAAGTAACCATGTTTACAAAATGCTGGATGTAATTTTACAGTAAAATGTAATCATTCACTGGGCAATAATACTTTTATCCCATTATAAAGTTGAGACTTCTGTCTTACCATCCTGTATTAATTTTAAAGTGATAACAGAATTTTGATATTAGGGGTACATTAATATCGGCTCATAATCTTGTATTTCAAAATTGATTACACAAAATATGATTGATAAATGGAGTATATAAAAAGAAAATTTTAAATTTAAGCCAAAAAAAGACAAAGTAGCTTTAGATCAATAGTAAATACACTGATCCCAGAATCGGGAGAGTGCATTTAACCTACTCAATAAGTGTTTCATTCTTTAAACAGTTATATATTATTTAAATTAATTTTATTTGGAATATTCCGTATTTTATGCCATTTTTTTAGTCCTATCAAACACATCTTTTCTTATTCAGATGTGTCTATAGTCTTTTCCATTTGTTCTCATTTAATTTGTTCTTAATGCTTTCCTTCTTTCTTTTTAATTTTCTGCTTCTCATGTGGAATAGAAGAACAATAAAAATGTGACACTGAAAAGTGATGGTAAGGGTGGGTTGAAAAAGACTGATCTTAATTTCATGCAGAAGGGTTCAAAATCAACTGATGGTTCTTTGCAAAAGCAGTCTTTAAATTCAGTGTCTCTTGGAAATGGTTCAGATCTAGAATGTAGTGATTATGATGCCTTTGTGGGGAAAATTAAGGCTAATAAAAAGCATATAAAAGATAAACTAGAACAGGCATACACTATTAGCAAACTGAAGTCTGATGTTCAGCAAACTGTTAAACATCAACTCAAATTAGTGAAAAGGAAGAAAGACTATGCAGAAAATCTTAAACCTAGAAAACAAGACACATCTTACGGTCTTTCCAGTAATAAGACTAAAGAATTATTTTTTTCCACTGAAAAGTTAAAAAAAGCTATTAAATCTAAGCACCCCCCTAAAACAGATATACTGCCTGCTGCAGCCAGTAACAAACCAGTGACCATTTCAGTAACTGCACAAAACCAAAAACCTGTTAAACAAGGAAGTAAAGATGCAGTGGACGAAGTTAGGATATCTGACAAATATGGAGAAATATATGTCAGAGGGGAAGAAAGTAATGAAGAACAGAGAGGACTTAAGAAAAAGGAGAGATTCATTAAACAAATAGCAGTATCTGTGTCATCATCTTCAAGTGAGGAAAGTAGTAATGATTTTGCAAAATATGTACTTCAGAGGAGAAAAATGCACAAGGATCGTTATAAAGACACAGGAAAACAGAAGCAAACAGAAGCAGTAGAAAATGTGAATGATTTAGAAGAAAGAGATACTGAGACAGAAGAAGAGCAAGATACAAATAAACAAAGAGAGAGTGCAGAAGAGACCAATATAAAAACCCTGAGTGAAGAGGAAACAAAAGTGAAGAGGTTTGATGATAAACCTGATGAGGCCCCACAGCGAGATGCTAAGAATGAAAAATTTAATCAGGCAGAGAAGAGTGAAGAAAGTGAAATGGGAATGAAAGAGGGTGAAAGTGAAAAGGAGAACCAGGATGAAAAAACTAATAGTGAAGTAGAATCTGGAGAGGAGGAAGATGAAAATGAGGTTAGAAAAGATGATGATGATAATACCTCAGTAGTAAGAGATGGAGATGAAGAGGAGAAAGGTAATGGAGAAGAAAGTGAAAAAGCTGAATCGCAGTATGAAACGGAAGATGATCATGAGAGAAAGGCAAAGGCTGAAGAGAATCATCACAGAAGAGGCACAGAAGAGAGAAGTCAAAAGAGTAATTTTAAAGAGGAAGAAACAGTGAGCAAGGGAGAAGTGGAGAAGAAAGATGAAGAGACGGTAGAAGGAGGAAAGGAGGGTAAATGCGAGGAGGAGCAGAGTGAAGACACAGAAGTGGAGGCTGAGAGTGAGGGTGGAGAGGAGGATGAAGAGGAAGAGGATGAAGACAGTGAAAGGGAGGAAGAGGGAGGTGAAGGGGAGGGAGAGGAGGAAGAAGAGGCAGAGAAGGAGGATGAAGAAGAGAGGGAAGTGGAATGGGAAGAAGAGGGGGAGGAAGGGGAGGATGAAGAAGAGGGGGAGGAAGGGGAGGATGAAGAAGAGGGGGAAGATGAGGGGGAGGATGAAGATGAGGGAGAAGAAGAGGGGGAGGAAGGGGAGGATGAAGAAGAGGGGGAGGATGAAGATGAAGAGGGGGAAGAAGAGGGGGAGGATGAAGATGAAGAAGAGGGGAATGAAGAAGAGGGGGAAGAAGAGGGGGAGGATGAAGAAGAGGGAGAAGAAGAGGGGGAGGGGGAAAATGAAGAGGAGGAGGAGGAGGGGGAAGATGAGAGGGAGGACGGGGAGGGAGACGATGAAGATGAGGGGGAAGAAGGGGAGGAAGAAGAGAATGATGTAGAAAAAATAAAAGAAAATAAACATCTGCAGAAACATAATAAAAAAAAGCAGGAGAAGAAAGGAAGTGCTGTACAGAGCTCTAAACAGCAAGTAAAGACAAAACAACATGTAGTGAATGGGTTACACAATTCAGAACAATTTTGGAACAATGTGCTACCTCATTATTTGACGCTAAAATAGTACAAGATGCTGGAGATTTACTTCAAACAGATTCATTCAGGATATTATTGTGCCATCCCAAGTTTATTTAGCTATAATCCTTTTTTTAAAAAGTGATTTAAAAAAAAAATGCTCACAATAAATGTATTATACTAACACCAAGTGCCAGTTTCCTAAAGGGCTACAGAAAACATTAAGAGTTTGGTGATCTTTATCAGACCAAATTATCAGATATAAATTCTGGTGAAATCACTTTCATCTTTACTGTGTACAACACTATTAAAGTTGCAGAAAGTGATTCTCTGGGAGACAAAGCATTTGCTTGATGCAAATTTTGTCATAATTTTAGGATGATGGCATGAATTGTGTTGTAACAATGTAATTTTAATTGCCTTTTTAATCAGATTTCTGGAGCTGAAACATTCAGTTTTGATTATGGGGTAACTACCATGTTGATGTGCCTTACATGAATGGAATATCAATAAATCATAAAAATTCAGTTTTGAGAACTATATCACCACTGTGTTCTTTTCCTCTTAATTTCTACTAGGCCAATGTATTCATTTGTTCTTATAGACAAATACTTTGTTAGAAAATGCCAGATAAGTCCGAGAAAGGACAGTGTGTGCCAGTATGTGGTCAGTACTTGGTTTCTGTAAACTGAGGCCTTGATGTTTCAAAAGGACTTCAGCTTAGTCTCTGATTCTGGTGCCAACATGCAATTGTGTGCTAAAAAATCAAGGGCCTCTGAAAATCTGGCCCCAAATATATTGTGGTTAGAATACATCCAGTTAGTGATGATAAAACTATTTAATTATTAGAGGCAATTCACCTCAAATCCATACAGAGCCATGAAATGTTTCTTCATTCTTATTTACTTGTTAAGCATTGTTAATGTACTCTGGGCCATACAATACAGAGAAGACATGGTCCCTGCCTCACGGAGCTCATCAGACAGGCACCCAATACCCCTAGGTAACAAAGGACTGGGAATTTGGATCACAAAGATCTTGATCCTGCAAACACACACACTTAATTTTACTGCCATGAGTAATTCTAAGTGGGACTTCTCACAGTACTAAAGTTAAGCATGTGTGTAACTGTTTGCAGGATCGGGGCCTAAGTGATGAAAGGAAGATGTAGTAAGTCCAGAATCTAGATGAAATAGAATGGAAATTGGCATAAAAGAGCTAAATGGCTGAAAAGACAATTTTTTGGAATTTCTAAAAGATTTGGTGTTCCCCTAAATGCTAAATAATCAAAGTTCCCCCTTTTTCAATTTTTAAAACTCTTAGCAAAGAATTTTTAAAGGATTTGCCCTATGTTTGTAATGGTGTGTCTGGTAAGGGGAAGGGAAAAATGGGTGATTTTTGTCATCCAGCATTTTCCTTAGTACTTGCATACCATATTGGTGGCTGCTATAGGAAACCCTAAAGTAGACAAATCTCTGTTGACCAACCTGTGGAGTGGTCTTGACAGTCTCTGAAGAGAGTTCCTTCAACCTCTCTTTCAAAATGAGAACAAGAGGAGAAAGAGGAGATCAAAATGTGCGGGGATAAATTAACAGATGTCAAGCAGTAAAAATGTTAATCAATACTTGTATTGAGGTTATGAAACATTTTTTTTAAAATGTTGTTTTATAACATCTTGGTATTAAAATATTTTAATTCATTGTCTCCAGAATTTATTTCCAAAAAAGGCTGTAGTAAGTTAGTAATAAGAATGGCCATACTGGGTCAGACCAAAGGTCCATCCAGCCTAGTATCCTGTCTACCAACAGTGGCCAATGCCAGGTGCCCCAGAGGAAATGAACAGAACAGGTAATCCTCAAGTGATCCATTCCCTGTTGCCCATTCCCAGCTTCTGGCAAACAGGGGCTAGGGATACCATCCCTGCCATTCTGACTAATAGCCATTGATTGACCTATCCTCCATGAAAATCACCAAACACCATAGATCTTAATCAGCTATACTATTTGTTCTCCTGTTTTTCAATCAGTCACTCGTTCCTTTTCACAAGCTTCAGAAGATATTT